TCCATGCAGCAGTTCCATGGTGGGGAGCACACTGGAAGATGGGTTCACAGCTGTGTTGTTCATAGTATGGAAGCCGTGGAAACACCTGAAATATCCAAAAGCAGATCACCCATTTAGGATAGCATTATAAAGCCTTTAAAATGGGGCTTGGGGTAAAATCTTCATGGGTTTATGTCGAGGGACATGAATGGAAAATGTCTTTGTGAGACTGTAAACTGAAATGAAGAACAGACGTGTGCTGGAAAAGGATTGACAGGGAGCGCCCCTGAATGTCGACAGCGTTTTCTCTGGAGCAGATTATCTGGGATTTTAGTTCACATGTGGGAGTATGTGTGGAGTTCTTCTATAAAGATCACATTAACTTATTAGTTTGAGGGCAACAGAGCATTTCAATAAAAAAATTAATAGCCTGAGTTTCGCCCTGTGGCCCCAGGCGGTGCTGTGTGTGGGAGGCCCGAAGCCCTCTCTCTGGAGAAGCAGGACAGCGCTGGGAGGAGGACGGCCCTGCCCAGGGCACTGTGAGCGGGTGGCTGCCTCTCGCCAGTCCTGTGCTCTCGTCCTCTAACTCAGCCAACTGCGCACCGTCTATTCCACTTTCCAGCTGAGAAAACCGAGGCTGAACAACTGAGTGATCTGCTCATAGCCACAGCTAAGTGTCAGGAGCCATGGGCCAGAACTTGCTGCCCTTTCACCTGGAAATAGCAAGCCTATTAATTTTCTGACCCACTCTTGCTCTCTTTCCCCTCAGTCCAGAGCACTGTTTGCTTCTGGCTGTGTTGGAGGCTGCTGCAGCCCCTTTGACAAGCAGTCGCTGTGTGACTTGAGCCCTTTGCTGTAGTGACTGAACTGGGGTGGCATAGAGCAGCTCCCCCTTCCCTCCTAAAGGATGATGCTAGTGGGACACAGAAGACTGTGGCCTCAGACTGTCATGGGATTCACGGCGCAGGGGACGTGAGAGGACCTGAGGGAGCACTGACCAGGAAGCAGTGGCTGTGGAGCAGCTGCAGAGGCCATGGGTTCCTAGTGCGGATGTGGAGAGGCTGTGGGGCATTGGAATCAGGATGGAGGAGGGCCCACATGCATCCCGAGAGGGCGTTAGGAGGGAGGGTGAGGTAGGCATGCGGAGCACATGGGAAGAGGTGACCAGAGGCTCTACCCCAAGGAGGGAAGGACAGGATGTAGTGGGGGCCAGCCCAGAAATGGACTTAGAGAAGAACAAGTCTTCCCCCACCCCCAAGATGAGTTCGGGGCTGAGGGAGTCCTGGGAGGATTTTGCATGGGCCAGGATTGAGCGTCTTGTGCCTCTAGGGAACTGCTTGGAACCAACCCCAGGCATCCAGCTCCCTCCTTCAGAGCAGCCCCAGGGGTTGGATGAGAAGATGGGGAGCAGTGTCAATAACAAGGCTTCATGCTGGCTGTGGGGAACCCAGGACAGCCAGCCAGTACCAGGGCCTTGGATGGGGACTGGTCCACTGGTCCATTCTGCTAGAGTTCTGTGTCCAGGGCCACTGACACCATCTGCCTTCCGCCTTCTTCACTGCTCATATGTTTGTCTCAAGTCCAGTTCACACACAGCCTTCGGGGACACACCCACTGGCCGGAGTCAGGCGTGTTTTATTCCCAGGAGCCAGGAAAGGGGCTTCTTGTGCTGAGGAAACCGGAGACATATATGGAGAAATAAACGTTGAGGCCGTTGTCTCTCGGGGTCATGACAGCGATTACAGAGATGTGTTTTTTCATTTCCTCAAGTTCCACCGCTCATGTGTTGCACAGCTGTGATTTATTTGCAGAGCACACTTTGGAATTTAAAGGCCCTCATGCCGGCCTGCTTCACAGCCGAAACTGCTTGCCCTTTGGTGGATGATAGAGCAAGTGACAGTTTATGCTATGGAAGACTGTGTCTGTGAAGAAGATGGACAGGTGTCAAAGCTGGGCAGCAGAGGCCGTCACAGCCGACTTCACTCTCTTGGCCATCTGTGCGCGCCACCCGCAGCTGGCATGACGGTTGGCCTCGTCCTTGCACACAGGAAAGGCTGTGCACACCAAGCCCAAAGGGCTCCAGGCTGACGGGCTGGTCTAGGTTGGTCACAATACACAACTTGCATGGAAGCATGGGCAGGGGAGCCAGCTCCACCAAGGCCCCTTTGATTTCTGTCTATTGCAAAGCAGGGTCCAGGTTTCTGTCCTACACCTCATCTGTTCAGTGCTATCATGGTGCTCGTCTCCGTTTGAAGATCTGTTCCGTTCTTTGGTTTTGTTATCTCTCTCACACACTAGAACATAACAGTTCTGCTCACCTAATTCCTTGTGTCCGGCTCCCGGCCTGGCCTGTCGAGGTGCCAGGTAAATATCTGTGCTGGATGAGGTGACACCTAGATAGGGGAGGCAGCACAGGGCACAGGGGAGTGGAGAAGTGAGCTAGCAGCAGAGGTGGAGCACAGGAGGCATGGAGAGAGAGGGCCGCTCAGGAGATGAGCGGTGGGCTGCAGGACTCAGGGAGAGCGTGAGAGATTTCAGGGAGGCTGTGACACAATCACGTGCTTCTGCATGGATTGCATGCCAGCTGCACACAAGTCGCTTCCCTGCGTGCCATGTTGCCACACTCCGGCAAGTGAGAGCTCACTATTCCACAGTGAGAAGAAACTCAACCTCAACGCTAGAGCCACGGCCCTGCCTGGTATTCTGATAAAGACTTAGGGTAGCCATGCAGAGGGTGGACCGAGGGGACAGGAATAGGGAGCTGAGAGGCTATGCTGAGGGGTGAGTGCAGAGGCCGTGGTGTGCAGGTGGCTTGGCCGGGTGTTGAGGGTTGAGGAGAGGTGAGCAATTCTTCATATGCTCACTGAAAGAGCGTTTGTAGAGCACTTTGGGAGCCGCTCACAGCTTTAGTCCCTTTGTAATATTGACCCATTCAGTGCTTGCAATAGCTTCTGAAAGAAATGCTGCTGTTACTTTCATGTTGCAAACATGACTGAAGCCCAGACAATTTGGTGACGAGCAGAGGGTCACACAGAGAATGAAGGAGGAAGATGTAAGGTGAGGCAAGCAGGGGCTAGAGCCCATGCTCTTGACTGGTAATTTCCAGCCTGAGCAAGTGCAGGGACTGTGGACAAAGGGCAGCTTGGCCAGGGTGCACATTTGTTTTGAAGCTGTGCACTGAGAGTATCTATGTGGTACCCAAGAGACAGGCAGAAGCACAGGGGCTTCCAGGAGATCATAGCTGTGCTGGAGAAAAACTGTTTGTGGCACGCCCTGGGCTTGTGAGGAAAAAAGACTGTGTCAGGGCTGCGGTGCTAGGTGCAGATCCACTGTATGGGGGCTCCGAGGTGGGGAGAGCCTGGCCTCGACTCAGCCTCCAGCAGAGACGGGTTCCCAGAGCAGGGTGGGAGCAGAGGCTCAGGCGATACTTGTTTGAAGGGGTGTAGAATGGGGAAGGCGGGCACACAGGGCCAGTCAGGGTTACCCAACCATGTGAGGCAGCTAACTTCCTATGACTGTGACAGACACCTGGGATTATGAGTTCTTATGAAGAACAGGTTTATTTTGTTTTATGACTGGGGTGGCTCCAGGCCAGGGTTGGGTGGAGCCCACTTCGGGTATCGGTGAGGGTGCTGATGGTGATGGTGGGGATTGTGTGACCGAGCATGAGTTTAGAAGCAGAAAGATGGCATGAGTAGGGGTCCCATGGTGCCTGTGGGCCAGTGACCTTGGGGTCTTATACCTCTTCCCCCAGCAGTGCTATGTTGAGCACAGCCTTCGGCACCTACACTGGCTAAGCAGGGTTCTTTCCTAGCCTGGAATCTGAAAGAACAGGAAAGGAAGCCAAAGAGTGAGCTTGATCAGAGGCCTCAGAGGAGCCTCAGTAAAGTCTGGGCCAAAGGAAGGCGTCTTTTCTGGAAACAGGTGTCTTGTACAACACAGAAGACCCATAGAGCCCAAGATTCCTGGGAAGATGGGTGAGAAATGGGCCAGTGAGGTTCCATGGAGGGACAAGGTTGTGAACCTGCTCAGGGTTTGTTCAGTGTGGCACCCCAGAAAGCCTTGTTGGCCTTGCCTGGAGTGGGTGAGTGCAGCAGTGGCCATGAGCACCCTTATCAGGTGGAGAAGAGGCCAGGAACTGTGTTGGTGAAGGTAACAGTAGCTTCTTTCAGAAGCTATTGCATTTTCTCCCTAAGAGGAGTGTCAATGGCAGGGAAATCAGCCTTGGGGAGGGGAGATTAGAAATCACTGAATGGAAAGAGACAAATGGAACAGAGCCCCACAGCTTGTGGGGAGCATGCTCTGAGGTTCAGCTCTGCGTCCCAGGAGAGAGGAGCAGGGATGGCACAGGCAGAGGGTGGCCAGATTGGGACTGTCCAGCGGGGAGGGAGAGGACGGAGCAGAGAGAGCATCTGGACTTTCATGTCCACAGTGTTGCTCCTGCTGATGCTCAGGTGTTTTGGAAGGAGAGGCACACATCTAAGGAGAGTAAGGGTTGTTGTTAGAGGTGTAGATGTGGTGTCCGTAACATCCAGAGGTGACTGTCACAACACTGGAGTGGGCGAAACTGCACAGGGACACGTGTGAAGAAAGCAGGAAGGTGGCTGAGACGGCTGAGAAACGAGACCCTGGGGCTTGAAAGGGTAGTTGGGGAAAGACTAGAAATTGCTGTGCAGGAAGCCAGGGAAGAGTTTTGAACAGCAATTAATGTGTAATTGTGTCAAGTTCACCACAAAGCAGTCAGATAGAATAAAGGAAAAACACGTTTCAGATCAGCAGTGAGGAGGTCTTTAGTGGCCTCGGCAGATGGGAGGGGGCAGCCCCAGGCACTGGCTCTGGGCGGTGGGCCCTGATGGCAGAGATAATGGCATAGATGGCTCTGGAGACTGCAAGACATTCTGAATTCCCAGGCCTCACTGTGTGTTTCCTGCCAGAGAACGAGCCAACAGTTCCTATGGCCCCACCCCTGTCCGCCATCCCAGCCTCCACTAGTGTGACACGTGTGTCCTTCTCTCTTTCAGGGCGGATTCTGGACCTGAAGACGGGGACGGTCAAGAAAGAGGGGCAGCAGTCATCCATGAGAATGTGCATGGGCTCCCGGCGCTCTTTCATCTGCAGGATGAGGTCTGTCGAGGCTCCAGGACTATGGCTGGGGAGGGAGGCTGAGTCTGGTTCGGTTCTACTAAGGTCACATGTGCTGCTTGGCTCCACTGCAATGACTGAGTCTTCTTGACTTCAGTCCAAGCAAGACTAGTGAGACACCCTTGCCTGTCACAGAAGGGTCCCCTCCTTCCTCCCGTCCCTTCAAGTCTGGTGCCCACCACTTTCTGCCCATTCTCAGACCATAGCCTCTGCCTCCCATGTTTCTTGATTTCCTGCCCCTCCCTCCACCTAATCGAGTCCAGTCTCTCCAAGGTTCTGCATCTTTCAAGATGTCTGTGTCGAAACCACTGAATCCAGACTTACTTTTGTATTTCCTCTAACAATGCATGCATTTTAAATTGCTCTCTGTTCCGTTATTGATTGATATCTTAAGTGTAAATATCTTGGCTTCATGAATCAATAATAATGCCCAGAGAATAGAAGCTTTGATTTATACCTCTGCTGCCTCCCTGACATCTAGCAGGCTGCTCTGCACATACAGGCATCACTCGTATCCAGGGTGGGTCAGGTGCAGGAGCTGTCACCAGCTCCAAAACCCAGACACCCAAATCACGGGTAGTATTTGTTGTAAGCTACACACATCCTCCTGTGTACTTTAAAGCATCTCTTAATTAATTATACCAAATCCGGTGGAAGTACTATATAAATAGCTGTTGTACTTTTGTTGTTTAGGGAATAATGATAGATGAAAAAGTCTTTACCCACTCAGTACAGAGGCAATTCTTTTTTCAAATATTTTTGTTCCATGGTTGGTGGGATCCACATCACTGTTGAAGAAATGCCAGAGAGTCTGAACTCTGAAGTCACCAGGGAGTTTAGTGGTGTCCCCAAAAAAGAGTCCTCAAATACAATTCAGATGCCCCAATAGCTTTAGTCCCATGATCGCGGAGAGTAGGAGGCACAGGACGATGGACTCTGTCTGCTCTGTGAGGCTGATGAGAAGTAACAGCAACTGTTGCCATTCATTCATTCACTGGTCCATTCATTCATTCCATTGTTTAACAAGCTGATACTGAGGGCCACTGTGCTGGGGATTGGTCAGGAGCTGAGGAGTCTGTTAACCAAGTAGATGGAATCATGTTCTGCGCTGAGCTTATTTTTGTGAGAGTCACGTGGTAGACAGAGTAGCCAGGTGGTATACAGAATGTCAGATGGTGGTGAGCCCTACGGAGCAAAAGCAGATTTAAGAAGGGTTGGAGTAGTAGGCATTGCCTAGGTACATGTTCTGTTGAGTGATCAGGGCTGTTTGAGTAGAGACTTGAAGAAACTGAATGAATGAGATGGAATACATCCGTTGAAAAGACTATAAAGGAGGACAAGAGCAGGCCCAAAGTCCTGAGGTGGAAATGTCTTTGGAGTGTTCAAGGAACAATGAAGGGATTTCAGCCTCAGAAGCAGGTGCTGCATGAGCGTAGGGGGAAGAGACAAAGCCAAGAGGCTGTAGAGGGTGGGTTGTATTGACCTAGATGTCAGCTGTGACTGACAAGATGGATGTTATTGTGGTTTGATCATAAGAGTTACTGTTCTGAACAACATTTTAAAGATTGCTCTGACTTTGTGTGGAGCAGGGAGGAAGTGAGGAGGCTGTTGTAATGCAGGTGCATAAATAGTTCAGACTTTGAATGTGCTCCAGAGATGGCACCAGCCTGCAGGAAGGACAGGAGAAAGCAAGGAGTCAGAGACAAGTCTGGCATGTTTGCCTACTCTGTGGAGTTGCCATTTACTAAGTCTGGAAGGATGACTTGGGGAGCAGGTTTGGGGTGGAAAGAAATTTCAGCCTGCTAAGACAGCATGTATATAAGACGTGAAATACAGGAGATGAGCCAACAGTTGGGTGGTAATTCTGGAATTCAAGCAAGGTGCCAGGGTCTGGGTGATGGTATCTGAAACTGTGGCCCTGGGATGAGCACGAGGTCACTTGTGAAGTGAACGTGGACTAGATAGCAATGAACTGAACCAGAGAGGAGACTGGGGAGCAACTGGTGGGGGGGTGTTCTGAAAACGGGTAAAGAAGGCCCAGGATGGAGGAGCCCACCGACTACCCAAAGCTGCTGCTCAGTGTTAGGGCCGAGGATCCATTGCTGGATCCAGAGGGAGGAGCAGCAGGGGCTGTGCTGCTGATGGACCTTGTTATCTCCTCCAGGAGCTTCCTGGGAGGCTGGGTGGGCTGGTGTGGATCCCCACACTCTCCCTGAGCACCTGTCATGCCCACACAGCAGGATTCTATGTGACTTTCACTTAGACCAGAGTCAGCCTGCTCTGCTCCTTTGCCCTGCCTAGCTGCTGCTAGCCCTGGGATGCTGTGTGCACAGTGAAGACGCTCCCTGATGTCACCCCACCCCGACCCTTGCTGCTGGAATCATGACTTGTCACTTGAGCATCTGTTTGGAACTATGAAGTGGAATAGTTGCTGTAGAAGAAGCATATATTCCCCCATTTCATAGTAATCTTCCAAAGAAGTACATATTTTAAATAAAACCTGCTTAGCTCAGGCTGACTAATCCACCTCAGCTCCCCAATGTCACCTGTGTTGAAGGCAGACAGAGAGCTGCCACTAGCTGGGCCCTGGAACCTGCAGAAGATTCTGGCTCCCTGTCATGAGAAATAGCCCCTGGGGTCCAAGGAGAGCTGTCCCTTCCTCTGGTCTGCTCCTCTGCAGAGGGCTCAGATGCAGTCCAATTCACAGCTGCCTCAGCTCACCAGGTGGCACTGGGGTAGCATGAGTATCTCTGTTTAACTCGGGTGGAGTCCTGCAGGCAGCCTGCCTCCCATTGCCTGGTGGAGGCCTGCGGTGCTCTGGGGATAAGTGAGTGCCCATCCTGCTTGGAGGCATTCAGTAAGGCCCAATGATGGAAAGTCTTCATTGTACCATCCAGCAGCTCCCTCCTGAATCAGCTGCTTGGCTGATCCTCGTGGACCATCTCTCTTGGCAGCCTGTGGTCAGACAGCTGACCAGGTCCATGCTGTCCCTTGTTGCTCTGGGATGCTCGCTCTGGGGAATATACTCCCCCCGCTCTTGGAAGTGCCAGGCCCACCCTGCCTAATCAACTGGGAAGTGGGCAGTGCTGCTGACAGCTGAAAGCACAACCATCTCCTCCAAATAAAACTGCTTCATATTAGCCCGACACAGGCACTGCCTGCCAGAAAAGGGCAGAGTGCCACACGGGTGCCCCCAGGCAGCAATGTCATGATCTCATCCTGCTGTGGAAACTTCACCAGGCTGGCAGCTGACCAAGGTCTCAGAATAATTAGACTTTGTCCTTTGCCAGTTAGAAATTAATACATCCAGGATTTTGCTCACTGTGTGGCTGAAAATGGAAGCTCATGGGCCAGGCAGGCAACACCATGCAGCCGTCCCAGCCTGGTCACGGCGAGGCTGGGAGGTTGCTTGTTGACCTGGGATGCTGGGAGCATCATGAGGAAGGGAGGCAGGAAACTCCTGCTACAGTGAGCAGGGTGAGCCTCACACCCCTGGCTCCCAGAGAGAGGCCCCCAGAAAGACCTGGCTCAGTACCTGTTTGTCCCCTGTCCCATGCTCCTCTTAGCCAGCAGCAGCATCTCACTGCCTTGTATTCCTAGGGCCACAACTTGAGAGAAGGAGCATCCCTGCAGCTGGGGTGTAATGCCTGTGAAGGTGCAGCTGTGCCTCAGCTGGCAGCATCTGTCTTAGGTTGATGTCTGCTCAGGCCTGAGGAGATTGCCTCTGTCATCACCCTGTCTCCTGAGAGTCACCCGGTTCTGTGGAAATGATCTGCAGGCCAGAGCACTGTTAGGCTTCTCCTACTCACTCAGTTGGTCTCCAGCCCTGGGTTAAGCCTGGAAACACCTGCCGTGTCCTTTGCAAGTGGATGCACATTAAAATTCAAAGGTGTGAAAGTCTGAATCTTCCCCTGGGAAAGAAATTGGTCATGGATAAACACAAAAGCACCAACGGAAGCCCATCTTCAGCAGTGCAGTGTGTTTTATAAGCTTTCCTGGCCCTCCCCCATTCTAATACTTGTGTCAATTCCTAGGTGTGGAAATGCTCCTCTGGACCACCTGCCTCTAAACAGAATAACCACCATGAGGAAAAGGTTCAGGTCAGCACCCTTTTCTGATGTATGTTTTGGGACTCTGCGTTCTGTGGCTCAAACTCCCTACTTGGAGGAGTAGCCCAACCTGAAGTGGAGCTTGGTATAGAGAATGACCAGGAGGCCATCAGGGTAGTGGTGGCCACATGAGATGACATTGTAGAGGAACTCACTTGAGACTTTCAGACCACACAGAAGAGCGAGAACTGGGTGGTGGGAAGTCGGGATTCGAAGTCACAAAGGCAACCAAGGTTCCTCGATACCTTTTCTCACTAGATACCAAAGGTGTCATTGATGTCTTTGGCTCATGCCGTGGGATACAAAACAGCTTCACAGTGTCCTTTCTGCAGGAATGGCCTTGGCCCTGTGAAAGAAGGTGAAGCCCAATATGCCGTGGTACACTGCACAGGATACATCAAGGCCTGGCCACCTGCAGGTAAGCAGGGCTACAAATGTGTTTCCAGGGAGTGGATGCCGTTTCTATGTCCTGTTAAGACAGTATTCATAGAAGAAGAGGCAGAGAAATACCCTTTTTTCCTTTGTAGTTAGAACACAGTGATCTTTGTCATTGGAAAAAGTTCTGCTACCTATAACAAGAATTTCCAAAAAGAGCTAATGCTATAGAGGTGATTGGAACCTTAACAACCCATTTCAAGACTCACACAGCCCTCTGTAAAGTTGGAGTGACAATTTGAAATAATAGCTGTGTCCAAGCCATCAGAGAAATGCAAATCAAAACCACTGCAGTACCTCTTACAAGAACGGTTAAAATACCAGGTAACAACAAATGTTGATGGGGAAGTGGGGCAGTCAGAACCCTCATATGTTGCTGGTGTGAATGTGAAGTGGTGCATCCACTTGGAAAAAGTCTGCAGGTGTTCAGAACATCAAATGTCAAGTTGCCATGCTACTCAACAATTCCACTCTTAGGTACCAACCTCCTTAAACAATTGAATAATTGAAATTCATGTGGTCCAAGGGAATTTGTATACAGATGTTAGTAAGCAGCTTTATTCCTAATGGTCAAAAAGTGCAAACAACTAGACTGTGCATCAAAGAATGCAGGGGATAAGTAAAATGTGATTTGCTCATATGGAGGAACGTTATTCAGGTGGAAGGTGAGGTTACTCAGCCATATAAAAAAATGAAGGACTGACATGTGATATGGTACTGATGACTTCTGAAAACATCATGTGAAGTGAAAGTAGCCAGACACCAAAGTCCATATGTTATATGACCTCATTTACAAGAATGTTCAGTACAGGCAAATCCATCAAGAGAAAAGGTAGGTTTGTGGTTTTCAGTGCTGCGGGGAGGAAAGACAGAAATGACTGAATTTGGGGAGTGTAATAAAAGCATTATAAAATTATACAGTGATAACGGTTCCACAACTCTGTAAATATACTAAATTGTACGCTACAGTGTACACTTTAAGATGGTGAATTTTGTGGTGTGTGAATTATATCTTGACAGCCTTTTTTGCTGGGGATCAAATCCAGGGATTTCAGTGTACTAAATGCCTGCTTTCCCCCTGAGCTCCACCCCCAGCCCAATGAACTTGTTTTTGAACAGGAAGATACATACAGTGTTAACCCAATGGTGTGTACTCTACATCCCAGAATGTGGTATATCTCAGTGAAAGATCTATGTCAGTGTGAGATCACTGTGCATTCTGCACTTGCTGGGTGGAGTATTCTGTGCATGTCACTTGGGGCACATTGATTAATAGTACTGTTAGGAGTGACTGTCTCCATATTGATGTTTTGCCTGTGTATTATATTAGTTACTCAAAGAGTGGTATGGAAGTTTTCAGTTATATTAGTATATTTCCCTGTTTCTCCTTGTAGTTGTATTTATTTTGGCCTCATATATTTAGATATTTTGTGTCTGGTATGTATGTGCTAGGGATTCTTGTGTTTCTTGGAGAATTTCTTCCTTCATAAAATGTCTCTTTACCACCGAAAACTTCTCATTCTGCATTCTGCTTTGTCTGAAAACAATGTAACTTCTGCAGCTTTTTTGATTAGTATTGACCTGTCTTTATATTTAAAGTAGGTTTTTCATCAGCAACAAAGAGTTGGATCTAAGTTTTCATCCAGTCTGTCAGTATCTTTCAATTGGTATGTTTCAACCATTCATATTTAACATGATGAAATAGTTTGGTTAATAGCTACCATGCTTGCTGGTAATTGCTCATGTTCTTTGTTTCTTTCCTTCTCTTTTACTGCCTATATCTGTTTTCATTAAATAATCTATAAGATTTTTTATTTTCTGTCTTAACATATGAATTATATTTCTTTAAAGATATGTTTTATTTCTTGTCCAAAGTTTCCAATACATTTACAGCTAATATAAATTCATGTTCAAATAATTATATATACATATATATAATATATACTTTGTGAATAGAGCAGGAGCCTTATGATAAAGCATTTCTTCTTCCTCCTTCATATCCCTTAAAATATCACATTTATTGATTTCACTTATCCAATTCTGTCAATGCCCAGTCCACTGTTACTATTATTATCCTAAACAGACATGTACTAAATGATTAAGAATAGCAACTATGAAATATTTTACTTTACCTTCATTTGTTCCTTCTCTGATGATCTTCTTCCTTTCTTCATGTAGAGCTGAGCTTCTGATCTTTGTCATTTTTTTCTTCCTCAAGAACTTAGTTTACTAGCTTGCAGGAGAACTCTACTGGTTATGAATTTGCTATTTCTGTTTTTGTGGCATCTCTGTTTATGCTTTGCATTTGAAAGATATTTTCACTGGATATAGAATTTTATGTTGGCACTTAAACATTTTTTCAAAATTTTAAATATTTTACTGCATCCTTGTTTGTTTCAGATGAAGTCTACATAATTTTTATCTACTTTCTTCTCTAGGAACTATGAGAGTTTTTTTAGGGCTTGGTGGAATTTTGTGTTTATGTTTGGTTTTCTGAAATTTAAATATAATATGTGTAAGTATAAATTTTTTTTAAGGCTACCTTTTGCTCTCTAAGCTTCTTGGATCTGTGGTTTGATATCTGTCATTGATTTTAGGAAACTATTAGACAGTATTTCTCCAAATAGTTCTCCATTCTATCTTCTCTGAATGTTTCAGTTACACATACATTTTTTATATATTTACCTTTTAAAATTATACCACAATTTTTGATAATTCTTTTCTAGATGTTCCCCTTTACATTTTGGTGTGGGACCTTGCAAAATGACACATCTTCAAGCTCTCGTATCCCTTCCTTGAGTGGGTTCACTCTTTATTCTCTCTTGTTCTTTGCTTCTGCCAATGTTTTTTATTTCCAGCATTTGTTAGTGGCAAATTGGGCTTCTGATATGAGGGCAGATTACCCTAGCCAGCACGGGAACCTACCCTGTACACGCTGCTGTGCCGAGATGCTTGATGTCGCCTTGCCCTACCAGCAAAAGTGTGGCCTCCTTGTCCTCTAGGAGACCCCGTACCTCTAACCTGTGCACAGCCCTTTCCTCCATAGCATTACCGATTCAGAAATAAAATAATTTCTAGATACTGTTTAACATTTTTAAAGGATGATTTTTCTATATTCACAAGTATAGTAAGCGGTTGTTAAATACACGTCATAACAACAGTTATATGAACATTTGTTGAATGCTATGTGTCAGACGTGATTATAAATGCTTTAGCTACACTGCCTCATTTAATTACAGCAGCAGCCTATCGAATAGGTACTAGGAATCTCTCAATTAAAGAAGTCTGAAATCCAAAATGCTCCAAAGTCCAAAACTTTTGTGTATATATAAAAATGCATATATATATATTCACACACACACACACACACATATATCAGTTTGATAAATATGCATACACATTTAAATATTTTTAATTTAAACTGTTTTATGTTGCTAAAACAAAATAACACAGACCAAATAATTTATAAAAAAAAGAGGGCTGGGATTTAGCTCAGCGGCATAAGAGCCTGCCTGGCAAGTACTAGATCATGAGTTTGATCCCCGGTATCAAAAAAAAAAAAGACAGAAATTTATTTCTCAGACTTCCGGAAGCTGGAAAGTCCCAGGCCCAGGGTCTGTGTCTTGGGAGGGACTTCATGCTGTTTCATAGCACAGTGGAGGCATCACTCGGGGAGAAAGCAGGAGCTCAGATCCCGTTTCTTCTTATAGAGCTGCTGAGCCTATCATGGTGCCACCTCATAACCTCATCTAAACATAATTACTTCCCAAAGGTCCCACCTCTCAATATACCATCAGCACATGAGTTTGGAGATTCAAGTTTCTGACTCATGAACTTCGGGAGCCACATTCAGACCATGTCACCCAGAAGTGCCTGATGCCGTTTGCCAAAGGCCGTGAGGACAGGGACTCAACAGGCAGTGATGCCTTCATGGTTCAAAGACTGGATCTCAGGTCTGTAGATCCAGACCAGTCCTGACAGTGCTGCAGAAGTGTGAAGAGTTCTTAGAAGCTGGTGTGGTAACTGGGTGGAATTTAGTAATGTTCTGGGCTCATTATGGGTGGCATGGATGCTCCGGTTGGCGGTCCAGGGAACCTAAAATACTCAAAATTTGTCTTAGGAGGCTCTTTGCTGAGAGGCAAATAACAGCGAAAGGGTGTGGATCCTTGATGACAGTTTCTAACGGTGGCTTGGGTCTCCAATCACACATGATGGCCTGCCCTGTGGTAGTTGTTCAAGAACAAGGCTCTGAGGACTGAAGGACACAGGGATTCTTTAGAGATATGGGGAGACCAGGGTGTGCACGGGTGACTACAAGGGATGTGGTTGAGCAGTCTGCCTGACAGCTGGAAGGAAGCTCATCCTAGTGTTGGGTTCTAGTGCGCTCCTTCTAATGTTGCCAGATTCTGCTTTTCGGGACCCATATCAAGGTGACCACCTCATTCTTGTGGAAACTTTCTTTATTTGTATTAACCGTTCTCATTATACCAGACATATTCCTCTTCCTGTTTCAGCTTCAAAGCCATCTCTTTCTTATGCTTTATTTGAGCTCCAGGTGGTAAAATTCACTCTTAATGTCCACGTGGGTGATGGGGGAAAAGGAGGCTGAGGTCCTAGGTGCAGGTGGGAAACTGGCCTGGGTTGCGTGGGTTGAGTGACAGCCAGTGTTGAGTCTGCAGGAACAGTAGAATGGGCCATGCATTAGATCTTCAGTGGTGGCCTTGAAACTTTGCCACATGAGAAATGTTTGAAGGAGCTGGGAGTGTTTAACTTAGAGAAAGTGAGACATAATCTCTGCCCTCAAATATTTGAGGGGGTGTCATGTGAAGCAGAAAATAATCTCAGGATGGTTCTAGAAGGCAAAATTTGACCTAACAGGGAAAGTTGCCAGAAAGCAGATTTTAACTCATTAGAAGAACCTGAGGAAAGGGTATGATTAGAATGTTAAAAATGTATTTATAGAAACACTAAACATATGGGGGA